ATGGAAGACTCTCATGTATGACCACTAGCATTTTACTCTTCTTAGAAAATGGAATAAGCCCTAAAGTTAACCTTTATTTAATACACAAGATGAATTCAGTGCTATCACTGGAATAAAATTCCTTCTTTTTCTGAACTATGGCTCAGATGGTAATTACATCAAATTCTTAATAATCTTTGATATTTCACTGATAATTTCAAGGGTTTCGAGAGACCAATTAAGTTCATCAAAAGGTTCAGGGAAAATCTGTTCTTCATCAACTGAATCATGCAAATAAAAAACAACAGTTGCCAATCCCAAACTCCCTAACAACAACAACAAAAAGACAAAAAATAATTGTAAATCACTATATTGTACACCTGTAACTTACATTGTACATCAACTACACATCAAAAAGAAAGGGAAAAAAAAATCTCAAAACAACAACAAAAAACCCCAAAACAACAGTTGCTTAATCTTTAGCGTAAAAAAATCCTGCTTAGGAAAAATTAAATATAAATGTGTAAAATCTTTATATCAGAACTAATGAGAATAATTAGCATCAAAGAGTTATTGAGTAATTAATACTATGTGCCATTTACTAAGTACCAGGCAATGTGCTAAGTGATTTACATCATATAATCTTTACAAATGTCAACGTATGTAAACATTTCCCATTTACAAATGAGAAAACCAAGGTTTAGAAAAGTTACTTAACTTTCCCAAAGTCACTGAGCTAGTAACAGGTAGATCAGGGATTTAAATGAGGGAAGTTTGCTTATTGAAACTTAAAGATGATCTGGGAGAATTTAGTGATGGCATGAAACATGTTGATACTGTGGGGAAAAAACCCTTAAGACTAAAATGTGGGGAAGATTTAAGGAAATAGAGTAAACATGTAACAGACTTTTATCCCTTTCAGCAAGTATATAGACCAAAAACAAAAAAAAAAATAGCAGTGTGAAGTACTCAGAAAATAGGAAGCGCATGAATGTTTAAGGTTTTGTGAGGTTTAAAATTAAAATAAAAATGAAAAGCAAAAAGGTCATTCCTTATAGAAGAAATTAAAGGTTGTATATCAGACAATTCAAAATTGTGAGGAAATAAAAAATTAGTTTTAAAATAATTCTGGACATAGTTCTGTGCATCAGAGGCATTTCTTGGTACAAAAGTTATAATTCACAAACCTAAAACACAAATACCAAAGGCTGGGGCATTACACCCAGTAGAGTACTTTGGCATTGGAGCCAAAGCCCCTGGCTAAAGGTGTTTTTCAGTTAGTAGATGGTGTTATGTTTAAATATGCATTTTCAGTAAAGGACATCTCTTGTCTTATCCAAAGTACTGGTATCATCTAAAGTAGGCAGAAGTGGGAGGTTTTTCCATTCTTTTTGAAGAAAACTGTTTATTTGTCCTGGCAGCTCATCTCAAAGTCAAGGAAATGGTCTTGGTTGAGAAAGTTATTATTATTATTTTTTTTGCAAGCCTACTTCAATGTATGTCTGGCACAAAGGATTGGATTGATTTAGCTCTTGGTCACCAGGGTTTATGATTCATTATACTAGGCACTAGCTCTCATTGAAGATGGGCATCCACAATGTCTTTTCAGAAGTACCCAGGCCAAGACATACCTCTGGAATATGGAATACCTTTCCTCTTGCTATATCGATGGTGTCGAGTATCTCATTTTCTCATTCCCTACAAACTACTTTTATCCGATAGGAGCAAGATTTGGTTTGTTTTTTTATTTATCAAATACTATAATGCTGGTGCCACAGACACGTGCTTCTGGGAATGCAAAGTGCTCCTTCAGAATGTGGTACTATGTTCATAACTGACCAAGCCTCTCCCATAGGATAATTCAGTGGGAAATCGTCTCTTTTTCTTTTTTTATTAACATGTCATCTTTCAACTATTCCCAGAATTATTTCTCTTGTCCTTTCTTTCATTTATTCCCTCTCTCACTCTGGCTTTTGCTATCACCTTTGCTTTCTCTCCAGTGAACTAGTTGGACAGAAACTGTTTTCACTATACTGCCAGGTTTTTAGAACTTAGCTGAGGATTTATCCAAATCTCTGGTGTATATACTCTCTCCAGTCCTTTTGGCAACACTTGCTCTTGATGTTAATCATCTATTTATTATCATAATCATTCGCAAGAGAACTGATAAAATTTCTGAGAAAAAACCTTATTCTGAAGGAAAATGATGCAGTGGATTAAAAACAAACCCCAAAGCAATACCTACCATTACTAAAGTAACTCTGGCATATATGCACGTGTTAGACTAATAAGAGAATAAAGCTTTTCAGATGCAAAGTTGGTATTTTTTCTCATAATGCTCCCCTCTACCATATTTTGTTAGCTCAGAGGGATGCTGTAAATGTAATGAAGGGAACACATATAACCTATTCTATCAACCTGACAAGGCAAGAGAATTTGATGATGAATGATTGGAGAGCTATGAAGTAGGAGGGCTAGAAGGATTTATGGAAGCTTGATGAACAATGCATCACTATATCCATGGAAAAGGTAGAATGCAGGAAAGCAGATACAAACAGAAGTTCTTAAGAGGCTGAAGAGAAATATTAGAAAGCTTTGAAGGGATATGGGAAGAGATGAATAAACTAAGAGAATGATTTAAAGTGGGCCGTGGAAGAGCTGGAACAGCGCAGCAAACAGTGGAGTCTGCAACAGTGGAGGCCAAAGCCAGGATCCTGCCTTCACGTCTCTGTAATGACATGTCACAGTCTTTCAGTGCACTGGGTTTCCCAGGCTTTTTTGCTGAGCTCTGTTCTGAGTCTGTTTCTTGGCAGCTCCTCTTAGGGGTTTTCATCTAAACTATGTCAAATTTCATATTCACAAACCACTCTTGGGCGTGATTTCCATCTGACTCCTTACATCTCCACTTCCAGCCCCGTGAGGCCAGCTAACGGCAAGCCCAGTCCTTGTTTAGCCTGGTGGGCCCTTGGAAAGGGAGTGTGACTGTGACACAATAAGAATGGTTGATGCCACACTCATAAAGAAATAAGCATATACTCTGGTTCAGAAATGCTCACTATGAATATCTAGGGTGAGGCCTGGAATATGTATTTTGAAAAGCTTCCCAGGTGATTTACATGTCCACTCCTGGTAAAGAATCAGAGGATTAGAGATTTATACTACTAAATGACAATTACTTTTTGGGAAAAAAGGACAAACTTAAACTCTTCATATCATAACAAAATAGTTCTGTCAAATGTAACATTATTCTATGGAACGAGAAAAACAACTTTACTTGTTCTAACATAGCAATATAATGACTAGGAAAATATAGATAGGGGATGATATTCTTGTTAGATTTTGATGCTCTGATGTATAAGGAAAGCTGGAATTTGCTCTTTACCTTCCCCTATTTTCTGACCGTCAACTAAATAGGTTTTAAGAATCGCACAACATTCCTTACTATACTTCACCTTTTATTAAAGTAGACACCTTTTATGGACACTGTAAATGCTGTAGGTTGAAATGAGTTAATTTAACTGTTTTTGACACCCTGAATAAAAACTTAAGAAAAATAGAAATACTCTTCTACAAATTCCATCAACAGAAAACATGCAAGTCAAACTAAGACTCCAGTCATACAGAACCGTGATTCTCAACCGTAGGGCAGGGGGGAAAAAGAACATAAACTTCATCTTTCCTGGGCGTTACTTAATCTGAGATTTGATTAGTCTGACTTCACATTTTCAAAACCAAAATTAGATAGCCAATGTCAAGAATAAAATCAAGAAACTGGAGGCTTTAATTGCCTTTCTTATTACTCTTCTTGCCCTCAGAACTAATGTTTTTTAAAAATTCACTTACGCTGCAGGCAGGATTAAAGGTAGATGGCCTCACAGCTCAGATCTGATACTCACATTTCTTCCACTCCTTTAGTACATTTATTTTTAATGGGCGTGAGAAGAAGAGATTGGAAATGTGCCTCTGTCTGTATGAGAAAACAGAGAGGTAGGGCTGAAGCGTCTTACTCTTCATTGTAAGCCCATAATCAGATCTCTGTCACGGGAATAGTTCTGTGCCCCAGAAAAAGCTATACATTGCTGCCATCACCTATGTAGAAACATCCTCTTAATATAATTGCTCAGTTCACATGCAAAAGGGATGTAAGGTATGAGATTTTATTTTCTATCAATATATCATTAGTTCTACTATCTCAACAGAAAAGAGTTTTCAAAATCTGAGAAATACAGAACCTTTACTTATTAATTAGAGAGAAGGAAGGGTTATTAGAAGGACTCCCCAGAGAAAGAGAAAGTGGAATATTTATTCCTCTGAGAGAAGCTGAGGGAGGAATGTGGTCAAGAAATGAATCTGCCTAATTCATGACCTGGACAACTCTAATCTGGCACATCAGCTGTATTTTGCTTTAGTGAAAAGTATAGTTTGGTTATAATAACACCATTTTGGAATGAATTTTCAACATCTTTTCATCCCCAATTATGAAAATATGTTGGTAAAAATCTTAGGAGATATTCATTATATAACTTCCAGTGACCAGACATTATTTTATCATTTAATTTTCCCTTTCAAGTTTGCTTTTATTGGAAAAAAAGCTAAAACTTTGCAGAATTCAAAAGATGCAATTTACTGGACACTGAATGGTAGCTTTTATGAGAAAAAAATTTTGCAAATGAAGTAAAAATCATGATGGACAGGCAAACCAAGACAAGAAGAAATTTTGATAAATTCCACAAAATTTAAAACATTTTGTTATCTGTTTATGTACATATGTAATATGCATATAACATGTATCTCTAAAATAAAACTATGCTATGCTAGGCAGCAGGAACCATGCCTTATATCTCCTTCATATGGTCTATGCAGAACACATGGCAGGTGCTCAAAAACTTGCTTAACAGAGTTTAAAGTCACTTGGCAAATAAGTTAGCTACTTTATATTAATCCTTAAATATAAACCAATGAAATTCTATTTATTCTATTAGTTAAAAATGAAAACAGTCACATTAGTATAATGATATTACCTGTAAGGGTAGCCGTGGTACTTGGAACGAAATATTGAAAGTAGAAAACTGAAGAAGAAGACCACCAGGCCTAATCCCACTAGACAAATGACTAGAAAGAGACAGAAAACTCCATTGGTCTAGACACACACAACCCAAATGTTTATATTTTTTAAATGCATTCAGTTAATCACAGTATACTTACATGTAACAGTTCATGGCACACACAGGTACAACAAACCAGATAATCATTATTTTCCACATTCTTCTCAATGAAAATGTACTATTTGGGGTATGAAAACAACAAAAGTGATCTAAGTCTTCTGGTGGTTTTCTTCTCTTACAGAATTCCTACAAGTACTAAAATGCCCCCAGAGGGATCAAAACAAAACACAACAAAACATGTGATAAACCGCAAACAAGATTATCAGCCCCTGCATTGTGAAGTACTGGCTATATTAGCAGAGACATTTGCATTATTAGGATGTGCAATATAATTTTATTTTCAGATGCCATGGAATGTTTACAGAGAAATGTAATTTTAGGTTATTGGCTAGATTATTGCCTCAGTAAAAGCCTGTTCCTTACAAATAACAGTTCGTCCCAGCGCACTGAAGGCTAGGAACAAAAGCTTGGGGAGTGAGAAAATGCGAACTCTGTGACAGTCAAAGCAGGAGGGAATCCCCCTACTGTCTGTTTGTTTTACAAAGGAACACACGGTGTATTTTACAGAAGAATGTGCTTAGGCTGTGGTCTAGGTTTTCAGTGTCACTTTGTCTAAGGCAAGTTGACAACAGGGAAATTTCTTTTCCTTTCTGTTATGGTTAGGAAGATTTTACTCTAAAGTAGATGACTAATCAAATATATATAATATACATAATAAAAATGTATGCAAATACATATATTGGATTTTAATTAAATAAGATACATTGCTATTAGTAAAATAAACAAAACATAAATGCTTAAAAATCTGAGCCAATTAAATGCAGGTATGTTTAGAATAAAAGAAAACAGGTATATTTAGAGAAATAGAAATTTATTTAAATCTGTTCTGTAAATAAGTAGAAATTAGTTCTCTTAATAAGAAATAGCTAACCGTTTCTTAAGAATAAAACATTTGTGCGATACTTGTATCCTTTCGTTAGTTTCAGGGAATTCTTTAAAAACACTGAAATATCTAATATAATTAATTATAAAAGAAAGGGGAAGACAAAAGAGATTAAACACACTAAGACAGACGGAAACAAGGAAGATTAAACGGTTCTATATGCTGCTATAGTGATGAAATACGATTTTTAAATTATTCTAGCATATAAATTAGACCAGGTTTAATTACAATCCTGGAAATCAGGGAGTAGATAAGGTATGGCATTGTTGAAACATGGTCTAGAAATCTGTCAGTTTTCTTTCAACTCTGTAGGATACCATTCTCTCAGTTTTGAGAACAAATTGCGAAAAGTCCTAAGTGCTTAATAGCATTGAGCTGCAGCCTCTGTGGCATTTCATTTCAGGTAACACTCATGAAGGTGAACTTCAAATGAATATTGGCAGAAAGCAAAGCAAAAACAGTTGCTGAATACCGCAGAAATGAAAAACACCTTTTTTTCCTTAGATTGTGGAATGTCCAAGTATGACAGACACTAGCCACTAGACATAGCAACTGTGCTTACAATAATCTTAGTAAACCCAGAATTAATGACATGATGCTTTACTTTCTACTTCCTACATTTGGCATTACCAAATACTTCTTCCTTTCCTCTGTCTTTTTCTCCAGAAGCTGAGTAAAACACTTTTTCACTCCCTTTGCCGCTTTCGGTAGCCTCATCTGATTGTGTTTGATGGGAAATAAGCCTCAAAACGTGATCAAGTAAGACAGGGTATATTACTTGATTCTATGCAGTGGAACAAAATGATGCTACTCAAGTACTCGCACGTGGGGGAGAGGACCCGAGACAGGAGTCAGTAATGACCCAACAAACCACTGCAGCCCATACGAGATAACATACTTGTGAGAAGAAAATGCTGTGACGACACAGACGCATTCTGACCTGGGCAATAATAATCACAGTACTTGTATTATATCAAAAATAAAAATCAGGGCTTCCCTGGTGGCGCAGTGGTTGAGAGTCCGCCTGCCAATGCAGGGAACGCGGGCTCGTGCTCCGGTCTGGGAAGATCCCACATGCCGCGGAGCGGCTGGGCCCGTGAGCCATGGCCGCTGAGCCTGCGCGTCCGGAGCCTGTGCTCCGCAACGGGAGAGGCCACAACAGTGAGAGGCCCGTGTACCGCAAAAAAAATAAAAAATAAAAAAAATAAAAATCACACTGGAGTCAAAAGGGATAATTTAAAAAATATATTTCCCATTCTCCACCCCTTCTGTCTGTCTCTCGCCCCCCCACGCACACACACGCACACACACACACTCTCACACACACACACACAGACACACAAACTGGCAGTGGGTGGGGGCTGGAGTGATTATTTATATATGTATAATTATAGACCTGCAATTAAAAAATTACATATTTCTTACTATTTTAATATGAAGGATACATGATAAATATATAAACACATAAGAATTTGTCCTTATAAATATTACTTGCCAGTCCCAAGAACGTCACATTCTTTATTCAAAACATAAATCATAAAATGATGTTCTGAGCAATGATTAACTAAAGAAAGTAATGCGTTCATCGCTTGTGTAGTTTCTTTCTAACAGTGTATAGATGGCATCATGGGAAAACAGAGGGTAGACTAAAGTGTCTGTTACATCCAAAACATTTCAACACTTAAGATACCTAAGAATTATATTTAGAAATCACTATGACTGATTTACATACATGTCACCATAACTAAAATTCCCATAAAAAATAAGTCTGGATTTTATTTTAAACTTCTTAATAAATGAGTCTTTTCCAGATGCCTGTGTTCCTCACACATACAATCTGGGTTTTAAAAAGGGTTCAGAAATGCAAAGCATATTGAGAAAAATCTTAATTATAGGTTTCTGGAAGCATAATCGTAAGCTCACATGGGGACTTTATATTAATTAAAGAAAGATCTGTGGCGGGAAATACTGAATGTAAGGCTGTCTGTCCTTTCCTAACCTCTGCTCCTCAGGGCAGAAGATTTTTCCCATGTGTTTTTTCCCTTTTCCTGACAAAAATATGTTACTTTATAAACATGTATTCTTTTTCTACAACTCCCTTCGAGGAACAGTTCTGTCAAAGGATAAAATGTAGTCACCTTGTTAAGACATAGTGCTGGAACTTGGTAGAGTTGTAAATCTTGGAATAAAAATGGAAAAGGCAAAGACACTGGAAAACATGGTATCACGAAATGCCCTCTTTCTAAATGTTGCTAAAAGGAGGTTTTGGAGGTAATCGGAAGTATAGTATTTCAGGGTACAAGACCTATGCAAAAACTTCTCTCTCTGAGTCAGTTCTTGAATGCATACCTGATTCTTGTGGCACAGGGAAACATATCATTAGCCAGTAAAACCTCTGAAGACTCTGCCCACAGAATTTTCCACCTCTTCCTGTAGGGTGGACATGACTACAGAGACTACAGCTTCAGCAGAGATGCGTCAGAGCACCCCAACCAAGGGTGAATAAGAGCTCTTCTTTATATCCATTTCCACAGAAAATCACCCAGTCCCATTTTGGAAGAAATGTATTTTTAAGTATTTGCCACACACACATCCAAGAAACAGAAAAAAGTAAGGAACACCACAACTGTCTTCAACCCAGACCATTTCTTTGGAAGTTCATTTACAAAGGACTTTTATCTATTTCCCATTTGATTTAAATGAAGCTTAAGACTAAAACAAACTTAGAAAAATACCAACACAGAGACTTACTCCGTCTTTTTCCAACATCGCCTTTGGATGTTGCCGCTTCATTTAGAAGAACCATCCCCATGGTGATAGCAGCATCTATAGTAGTTGTCAAGGAAACAGTAGAAATAGATGCAAATAAAATCTATTAATTTTTCTGGATCTGAACACAATGTGTTCTGTCCCAGAATGATTAAATTACAAACGCACACAGAGGTAAATGCAATTTATTCTCTTTATATAACATAAGATTACTGCTCTTTGTGTATTTAAATATGCCTTAATTTTTAGACTGTATAACCTGAAACTTTGAGATTTTAAAGGTCTAATTCTAAATGCCCTTAAATTCCAGAACTTTCATAGTGCATATGAATTATAAACTCTCAAAACCAATGATATTTCACATTATACATAAAGGTATACACCAGTTACAATTAGAATGACAATTTATTGGCAATCATAGAAAATTAGAATATATTCAGCATGGGTCCAACCAACCAACCTCTGTTGGACGCATAATGCATCCAAGAGAAAAAGCCACTACCAGCCCCATGCAATACCATCTCCCTGCCCGACACACATGTATACCACTAAACTTTTAGGAAATCCACAATAACACAGTTTGAAAACCTCTGAAATTTAGATAATTACTAAGTTCTTTGTGTTTCAATCATGTCGTCATGGCCTGAAAGGACAAGGTAACAGAATGAATGTTTTGCACTAGCAGTATGTTAGTTTGTGGACTTTAAGGATTCATTATTCTTAAGGTGTTTTGGACAATTTACTGATATAAACTCCCTCGAGTCCAGAGTCATAGGAGGTTGTCAATAATGATCGAAAAATTAAAAGCTTGTACCACTCAAACGGCTGATACACAGGGAATTTCGACTGCCTAACTTAGTTCTCTGGAGCAGACTGATAGGACTGATGTAGATCCTTAATAAGGAATTAAATTAGGGTTCTCCTTTCATCTTTTTTTGCCAACACCCTTTTATATTCATGTAAAATGCTAATCTATACATTTATGTACATATTTGATCTACTGAAAATTCATAGAGTTCTGGATTATTTTAACTATCACAGAAACATTTTTTATAAATATTCAAAATATAAATGACACTTAAAAATGATTTTATATAGATAATATAAACGAAACAAATATTTCTTTTATGACACCATCTGCTCAGTAGCTTCCAGAATTCCTTTATAAAACTGGGGAAAATCACACTATTTTTATTTCTGGGGAAAACAAGTTTTAAAAATTAAATGCTTTAAAATTTTAATGAGAGTAAAGCCATATATTCAATATTCTCAGGGTAAAACAATACATGAACACCCATGTGTACATAATATATGTGTGTGTGTATTATTAGTACACATAGACATAAATATGCACTTAGCGAGATTTTATTAAGCAAATTATATTTTATTGGATATTAACTATGGTCACTCAAGTGTAACATATCCCTGTTAATATATCTTCATATGTGTTATTTTTACTACTGTCTCTCTGTAAATTGCTGCATTATTATGATGTAAACTATGTGACCTACATGCTGCTCATCTGATTGCTTTTGAACTTCGCACAAATTCAAACAATGTTGTTACAAAAGTGTAAGATTTTCATAAGAGTGTACCACGTTATTGCCTCATCTTACTGATGGGCATTTGTTTCCAAATGTTTGCTATTTCAAATACTCCTACAAAGACTGTCTTTTTACATGTACACGTGTAATATTTTTCTAGGGTCTACACCTAGAGGTAGAGTTTTTCAGAGGCTGATATGTGTATTTTCAAATTTACTAGGTATGATCATATTCTGTAAAACAAGTAGTGTTAAGAGTTTCCATTTTTCTTAACGTTGCCGAAGAAACGTTATGTTGGTATTGCTGAACTATTGATTTTATCAAATTGTTGAGTGGGGATCTGTATCAATAGTGAGTCTGAGTATCTTTTGATATGTTAATTCTTTTCTGTTTAATCTTTTGTATAGTGCTTATTTGTCCATTTTTCTATAAGCATACTTGCCTTTTCTTATTAACTTAGAAAATGCTTCACTTTTTTCTGGATATGAATTGATTGAAGTGTTGCATATAGATTCTTCTACTTGTCTTCTAAATTTTTTAGTTATGCAGAAGGTTTGCGTTTTAGTATGGTCAAAATTATTATTCTTTTATGAGCTTTGGTTATTGTTTCTTGCTTATGAAATTAATTCCTACCCCTAAGTCTTAGAAATATTCTCTATCTTTTCTTAATTGAAATATACAATATTATGTTAGTTTCAGGTATACAACATAGTGTCTGGACATTTAAATACACTAGGAAATGACTGCCACCAGTAAATCTAGTAACTATCCCCTCCATACAAAATTACTACAATATTATCAACCATACTCCTTATGTTGTGTATTACATCCCCATGACTGTTTTTAAAACTGTAAGCTTGTACCTCCTAATCTCCTTCACCTGTTTTGCCCAACCCATCACCCACCTGCCCTCTGGCAACCACCCTGTTCTCTGTATCTATGAGTCTGTTTTTGATTTGTTCTGTTTTGTTCATTTGTTTTTTAGATTCCACATACAAATGAGATCATAAGGTATTTGTCTTTCTCTGACTTATTTCACTTAGTGTGATACTCTTCAGATCCATCCATGTTGTTGCAAATGGCAAGATTTCTTTTTATTTAATGGTTGAGTAATATGTCATTGTGTATATATACATATATATATGCACATATATATATGGTGTGTGTGTGTGTGTATACACACACATACACACACACCATATCTTCTTTATCCATTCATCCATTGATGGTCACTTTGGTTGCTTCCATGTCTTGCTTATTGTAAATAATGCTACAATGAACACAGGTGCATATATATTTCAGAATTAGTGTTTTTGTTTTCTTCAGGTAAATAAAATATCCAGAAGTAAAATTGCTGAATCATATGCTGGTTCTATTTTTAATTTTTTTGAGGCACTTCCATACTGTTTTCCATAGTGGCTGTGCCAAATTAGATTCCCACCAACAGTGCACAAGGGTTCTGTTTTCTCCACATCCTCGCCAACACTTATTTATTAACTTCTTGATGATAGCCATTCTGATGGGTGTGAGGTGGTATCTTATTGTGGATTTTATTTGCGGTTTCTTGATGATTAGCGATGTAGAGCATCTTTTCATGTGTCTGTTGGCCATCATATGTCTTCCTTAGAAAAGAGGAAGTCCTCTTCAAGTCCTCTGCCCATTTTTTAATTAGGTTGTTTGCTTTTTGATACTGAGTTGTATGAGTTCTTTGTTTATTATGATATTAACCCCTTATTGGATATGTGATTTGTAAATATCTTCTCCCATTCAGTAGGCTACCTTTTCATTTTGTTGATGGTTTTTTTCAATGTGCAAAAGATTTTTAGTTTGATGTAGTCCCACTTGTTTGCTTTTGTTTCCCTTGCCTGAGGAGACAGATCCAAAAAATTAACACTAAGACCTATGTCAAAGAGCATACTCCCTATGTTTTCTTCTAGGAGTATTATAGTTTCAGGTTTTTAATCCATTTTGAATCTATTTTTGTATATTGTGTGAAAAAGTGGTCCAGTTTCATTTTTAGCATGTAGCTGTCCAGTTTTCCCAACACCATTTATTAAAGGGGTAGTCTTTTCCCCATTGTATATTCTTGCCTCCTTTGTAGATTAACTGACCATAAGTGCACAGGTTTATTTCTGGGCTCTCTGTTCCACTGATCTATGTGTCCGTTTTTGTGCTCATACCATACTGTTTTTATAATATTACCATAGCTTTTTAATATAGTTTGAAATCAGGGAGCATGATACCTCCAGCTTTGTCATTCTTTCTCAAGGTCGCTTTGGCTAATCAGGGTCTTTTGCAGTTCCATGCAAATTTTAGGATTATTTGTTCTAGTTCTGTGAAAAAATGCCATTAGTATTTTGAAAGGAATTGCACTGAATCTGTAGATTGCCTTAGATAGTATGGACTTTCTAATACATCGTTAAAGTCAGTCAGGTAATGCCATTCTTCTCCTCAGAGCACTCTAATAGCTTTCCATCTCACTCTGAGTAAAATCTAAAGACCTCAAAATGACACCAAGGCTGTACCTGATTTATATCCTGACCCACTTCCTATACTTCTCTGCCCTTGATTGCGCTGACTTATGCCCTTGGTATTCCGCCAACAAGAGGAACCCCTCTGCCTCAGGATCTTTGCAACTGCTACCCCACTGCTTGAATACTCTTTCCCCCCAATGTCCATGTAACTCACTCCCTCACTTCCTTTAGGTTTTTGCTCCAATGACATCAGAGAAGCCTCCCTTGAACTCTGTACTTTTTCCTGCTTTGTTTTTCTCTATTAACATTGTTTTTTAAAGAAATTTTAGATTCCGTATCTTTTTTATTTACTTATTGTCTCTGTCCTGTCACTACATATGTTAGCCCCCAAAGGGTAGGAACTTTGTTTTGTTCACTATCTTACCCAGTACCAACTACTCTTTGAACTACTCTTTGATGTAGATACTGGAAGATCATTATTATCCTCGGTTTACAAATAAGGAAACTGAAGCCACCAGAGAGGTCCAAATAACTTGTGCAAAGCCACAAAGCTAGTGTCTAAAAGTTGGAAACCAAAAGAACATAGAAGGAATTAAGTAAGGATGATGAGAGGGTTAGATGAAAATAATGAGGGAGAAGCAAAGGAACAAAATAGCTAAATCTATTTTAACATAATGTGTAAGCATAAAATTTTATGTCAAGTGAAAATGTTCAAAAACAATATAATCTCATCTCCTTAAAAATAAATAAGAGAAATGCAGGGAAAGAAAGATAATAAAAAGTTGAAAGCAACTGTCTTGGGGTAATGAGGTTGTTGTGGGTTTTTGTTTTCTACTATTCATATTCTACACAGCAGTAGTTTGCAAACTTTTTATCTAAAGGGCCAGAAAGTAAATATTTTGGACTATGCAAGCTGTATGGTGTATTGTTACTACTCAATTCTGCTATTGTAGTGCAAAGTAATCACAGACGATACACAAATGAAAAGGTGTGGCTGTGTTCCAATAAAACTTTATTTATAAAAATAGTAGACAGGGGC